CAACTTTAGCTAACAAAACGCGATTCAGCCGCCATTGTTTTGGTTTTCAAAGCCGTTGCTTTTTGCTACTAGTAGGTATAACATATGGCTTAGTGGTAGCTCAACCAGTCAGAACGCAGCATTGATAATAGACCACTAGTTCGATTTTACTAACATATTTTACTTTATTCAATTCTATTTTAATTGTTTTTGTTTTGTTTTTATATCTGTATGTTTTTTTATTATCGTTTATGGAGGGAATCGAGAGAACAGACCCTGCGTCCAGCTCTCTAGAGCGCGGGTGGTCTTTCATGAGAACATCCACAAAAAAACGTGTAAATAGGGGTTTGGCTGAATACATTTTGGTATTTTGAATAGGTGTTACCCTGCCTAAAACACAGAGCTAAAGCAGCTTATGAAGGTTCTCAGTTACAGCTGTAGCAACGGCAGGGTCTGTTCATAGAAGTCCCGGGAATGAATTTTAAAAAAATACGTGTTGCCACTGGAAAACTGAAGTCTCGTAAATTTGTCGTTCAAAACACTGTTCCAGAGTTGGTGTGCCCGGTCTAGTGTCTCCCCTCTGACTTAATGACTTGAGGCACCCAATTTATATTGGTCTCATTCATGGATGACGGATATTCAAACCGCTGTTTACTTGAGGTGTTTAATCTGCCTTCTATTAATTTGTTCTATGTCACCGAAAAGAACTGTTTCTGATCTAAACAGATAATGGGGATAAGTAAGAGATGGTGCGAACATAGACATCTTTCAGGTAAGCACAGAAGCACTTCTTATCATTCTTGTCTGAGACAAACATCTTTCGGCGACATTAAGACTGAAACGCTGTCAGCTTGGCTACCACAGAAACTCACCCTTTCGCAGCTGCTTTCGTGTCCTATCAATCCAGTCTTTTATGGATAGACACAAATACTAAGCTTCTATAACAACGCAATGAGGTGGTATACAAACCAGCACCCTGTAAACACCCATGGCTTCAGCGAACCATAGATACCGGAGTTCCTTTCAGTCTAAATGTGACGTTCTTTTTAACACACAAATACTTGCAGTGAGGGTGCATCTATGACATTTAGAAGCAGATATGAAGGCGAAGAACTGTGTTCAGTAATGAACAGAAATCTGTGTTTGGTTCAAGTCTGGAGGAGTAGCAGACCATGTTTGCTGCAGTTTCGGTCAGTTCGTGCTTTCAGTTTAGCCTTCCTAAGAGAAAAAACCTGCGCGTAGAAGTCTCCCATTTCATTTGAATTTTTAGAGAGTCGCGTCAGTATTCAACCCGGCCGTTTGAAGGGCGAGCCAGCTTTCTAACAGGTGCTTAACGTTTAATACAGCTGACCCGATGCAAGCCCCAAGTCAGTCTCTCTCCAAGAAGTGCAGCTAGTGCCTAGCTAGTTCTCTCTCGTTGTGACTGCGTTCAGAAGGCTGGGTACCTATATATATAAAAAGGTTTTCTGAAGTGCAGCTGAGTCCTATATTATCTCTAATTATTCAGTTTTAAATATCAGAAAGTGCCCTATTAGTGAGCTTATCTGGCAACAGTTAATAAGGAATTCCCGGGAGATTAAAGGATATAGCAGGGCACATTTTTTATTTTCTAGTCCTAGACTTCCTTATTGTAAATTCCCATAGGCGTACGGGCCGGGGGGGGGGGGGGGGGGGGGGGGGG